CTTACGTACATATATATATATAGATAGATAGATAGATAGATAGATAGATAGATATATATATATGTATATATAATAGAATATAGAATATAGACCCTCTCCCCAAAGACCTTCAGCTCTGCTCCTTAGAAGAGAGAGGTGAGAGAGCCTTGATGGTCCTCGCAGAGCTCCTGCCGCTTGCAGCGAGGGGTTTCTCGCATGATTCAGTCTCACTCTCTCTATGTCTCTGTCTCTCCCTCCGGTGTACACACGCAAACACACTATGTTGCCTTCATCTGCTGAGCTCGCAGGCTACGCTGCGTCGAAGCATGTCGAAGCCTGGATTTTCCAATGTTTCACCGGCCTTGCACTCGCTCTGCCGTGTCACATCTGCCTCCCAAATGCCTCACCGAAGTCCCGCAGTCCAAGCCTGAACCTCACAAAGAAGATTTTGCAAGTTCGGGTGCAGCAATGCCCCGAAGATAGATTTAAGTTGATTTAAGTACCTTGGTCGGAGTCGCACTCGACCTGGTAGTCCTGCTGGCTGCAGCTGCCAGTAGACTGCCATGGCTTTGGGTAGCATGATTCGTGACTCCTACCTGTCCTACCTGGCCTTTGCCAGAGCTTCGGTGGTTTCTCTGGTCTGGAGGTCCGGAAAACTGCCAGGCTATTCCGGCCACAGGGCCGGTGCCAGATCGCTTGGAAACAGTAGCCAAAACTCCATGCGGCGATCAATAACGGAGAAGATGCGGTTACAGCCGGCAGACGCAAAGTAGGGTCATGAAGTGCTTCAGATTGCTCGCGGACGTGCCTGCTGGTCGCGCTCAGCTTCAATGCTGTCGCGCCGTGAAGGTAGCACAGGCTCAACTTCCCACGTGAACAAGCCTGAGCAAGCTGCATGGGCAGAGCCATCTGTACTTGCTATGAGCTTCCCCCTCCCAGACCTGATCATGTCCTGTTGGATGCTCCCAGGCTGCTCGGATCGGCACATAACAGGCAACTACATCGCTGATTCCTTTAAAACTAGGGTGAGAAAAGTGCTCCATGGCATGGGTGCGGGCAGTGACAAGCGCAGCCGCAGCAGAAAGGGAGGCATGCCGATTTGAGCACTTTCTGCGGATCTCTTCATGGATACCAGCGTGGTGTTGCCATTGAGAGTGTTTGATGCGGGCACAAGGAGTGTGCTACTGATGCGAGCCTGCTCGATGCTGCGCGCGAGTCACCAGGTCCTTGTCGGAGAGCATCGAAACACTTTCAGCCTTTCAGGACGCGCAAAGACAAAGGAGCGGCGCAAGCGGCACAACAGCAGCGTCTCAACTGCAGACAGGGAGCCTGTCAGACGTGTTGGAGCCACTTGTGCTCGGCAAGTTCGATCGTCCATGCCACGAGATGACATGGGGTGGACCATGCAGGTAGAGCCACCCGCATGCTCGTATGATCTCGCATGGTTTGTTGTCACAGCTTTACTGCATACATGATTCATCGTCACGCGCCCGGTGTCGTCAAGTCTGCAATGTTCGGCAGGTTCGCGCGAGAAGAGGGTGAAGCATGGCAGGCCAGGCCTGTCTACAGAGAAACTTGCTTTTGCGCATCCCTCTACAGTGTATACATGTGGTTCTGCAATGGGCTGCGAATCTGGAAGCACAGGAAGGGAAGCCTCAGAAGCATCCGCAGCACTCAGGCGGAAGCGGCCACGTCGCAAGCAGCTCAGAGATCATCCATTCGCAGTGAGGTAGCTACTTAGCTCCGCATTTTCCACCGCAGCTTCCGGGTAAGGACAGCCACACATTGACATGAGCTATCACGAGCTTGACACTTGCAGCTTTTGTGTATGCGGTGGACTTGCTGGGCAACCCAGCGATGAGATCTAAAAGAATCTAAAGGCCTCAGCGACAATGACGCGGGAGAACTAGAGAAGTCGAAACCCCCCAAAAAGCTACAAGGACGGGTTGTGAGAGCGCAAAAGTTACAAGGAAGAGAACCCTAAACCCATATATCAGAGTCTAAAAAACCCATATATCTAAGCTCTGGCTTCCGTAGCCGCAGGCCACGGCAAAGCTTTCACATCCTTGCCAGGCTTCCTGCAACATCCATAACTTGACATAGGGGTAACATAGATTCTGGACTAGAGTCTACTGTAGCATATTGTGCAGTATTTTATTTGCTACACTACACCATATTATGGTATAGCTTGACAGCTCCGTAAGGGCCTCGAAGTTCGTAGCATCCACTGCCCGATGCGCTGGCTGCTGTCGCTGCATCTGGCGAGTCTCTGTGCCGGGCGCTGGAGTGCGGAGCGCATCCGAGCGTGGGGGCGCCGAGAAAGCTGGAAGCTGGGAGTGCTCCAGATGTCAATCTGATATACTATAATTTAAAACTTAGTATGATGTACTATATATAGTATATAATATATTGTAATGTATGATAATATACCCTAATATACTAGAAAATACTTGAATCTAGTCTAGAATAAGCTAGGAAGAACGCGTCTTTCAGGCCATGCCAGGCCTGGGCCGATAGGAAAAGTGTGTTTATCTACGCGGGTGTGTTTGTGCGTAGGTTATACACACTACTTGGAGGCCCAGGGGACTTAGTAAGTCGGTTACAAGTAGGGTAACTCCATTTAGGGTACTTATAACTCTACTTATAACCCACTTACTAAGTCCCCCGAGCCTCCAAGTAAGCATGCACAGTGTATGCATTCTACCCTCACGCACACATTCGTGCAGGCATGCATGCATATATGTATTGGTTTATGGCCGTTGTGGTGCCTAGCCCTTGGTAAAACACACCTTCATGCATGCGTGCCTATATACATTCGCATGCGCACCCTCGCTTACAGAAAGACAGATGGACAGATAGACAGGTAGATAGGTAGATAGAGATATACAAATGTTATATACACATCGAAAGATACACAGAACAGTGTCCACTGCAGCTCCTCCTCAGCAAAAGTGTGAGCATCAGAGGCATGGCTCTTCGGAAGCCGACAGGGCAGATGGTGCAGGTAAAGTTAAGCATCTGTGTTGACCGACCGACTGCCTCAGTACCCGAGGCAAACTACCTCCCGGCGCACTGTGCAAACACGTTCGACCTGTTTGATGCGCGATGGTTCGACACCACGCCAGTGACCAAGTGGTGGATTAGGGCGCGACGGCACCGAAAGAAAGAAGAAAAGTCAGACATCGGAAACAACACCTTCTCGTGAGGCTCCTTGCTGCCGAACGCGAACTCCGCATAGCAAGACGCTTGGAATCATCTTAGCACTTTGGTCTCCGTTGACATGCTCCGAAAGGCGCTTAGTCTCAACTCACTAGTGCCAGGAGCAGCAGGGTTCTCGGCCTTGCGTATCTTGCTGCACGAAGAACTCTTCTACAGAGATGGGGCAGATTTCCTCGACAACGTGTCAAAGCTGCTGGATGTGTTCCGCAGACAAGGACCCCGGGACATGATTTAGGCGCAGCAATCCCCAGACGGCGGCAAGTTGCTTTCTCAGGAATGTCGACCATGCTGGTGCTTTTCGACGCCTGCTGGCGACCAGATTCCGGAGAGCCCGGAGAAGACCTGTACATACCCGGGGTTCACAACAGTGCGTCGGTCCAGTGTCCGACTCACACGGTTCTCAGGGCTTTTGGCCAAGGAGAAGCATGGGCAAAGAAACGTTTGCATCAGTACGTAACTGCTGTGGTGGGTCGCTTCGCGACGGATCCTCGTGTGGCGATCTGGGACATCTACAATGAACCCACTATGCGACAGAGTGAACACTTGATCTTGCCAAGACTGGCTGCCATCAACGGATGGGCTGCTGGAAGCTATCCGGAACACTGGCTGTTGGACGGGCCGAAGCTCAACACCATCCTGCCCCTGGTCAGACAGGCTGGTTTTAGCAAGCTGCCTGCACGAAGGTTACCTCGAGTTTTTGGGTTCTTTTATCGCAGGCCTTTGAATGGGCCAGAGAAGTTAACCCGGTGCAGCCGCTCACCACGGCAGTGTGGGATTTCCCGAACAGCGAAGATGACGAGGACGTGAAAGAGTACAAGGACGGCGAAACGATTATGAGAGTGGGTGCGCTTCGCTCCGCATGCAATCCAGGCCGCAGTCAACAGCGAGATGGTAGATCTGAGTGACATCATCTCAATCCACTGCATCTTGTCTAAGCATTGGTCCTGGCAGCCCCGCCGCCTCACAGCTGATTTGCCTTTTTAGAAATCAGGCTACTGCTCTCCTGATGAGCTGGAGCAGCACATCAGCGAGCTTGCGGCGAAAGGAAGGGGGCCGGTGCTGGTGACTGCTACTCGCCAGAACTTGGGGCCCAAGGCTGTGGATTGTGGAGTCTGCCGGCTCTCGATGCGAGGAGTTCATGGCACGGCCTCGGAACTCGACGCTGACCAACAGCCTGCCAGTGCTGCGTCGGCAGGCGCCAGAGTTTTCCGGGAAGCGATGGGCAAGCATGTCCTGTGGAGTGGAAGAGCCGGGTGAAGCAAGTTCACATCACCCGCCTGACACGTGGATCGAGATACCCTAAGGTTGCGCTCTGTCGTGTGAGTTGTGTCCCCAGGCCGTTTGTAGTTTCACTCAGTTAAGACATCGACAGATTGACCTGCCTCGCCTGGATTGTCCAAGTGAGCGCTGAAACATCCCTGAACAGTAGACCCTGCAATGTGATTTGATGAATTATTAGCTTGTGCCTTGAAGGTTCTGTCGACTAAACTTTAGCATCGGTAGCTTCGACTCCCGCCGAAAGCTTCGACTCCCGGAGCGCAGGGGGCCTGGGGATACACCTGGGGCCTCTTCCAGGGCCGATCCAACACGCACGTGCCTTGGAACACGTGGTTAGACACCGCGCCTTCGGCCGCATCTGCATGAGCGACTTTTGGGGCATCTTGAAGAGATGGTGCTTTCTCTGCTTGAACGGTTCATCCTTCAAGACACCGAGGAGCTGGGTATGGAAGGTCCCTGGTTTCACGATGTCTTCTATGGGAACGGTACGGCGTACAGCGAGGAGGAGCTCAAGGAAATCTGGTGGCACACAACCGGAAGCCAACTGCGGCTCTGAAAAAAAGCTGCGTTTCCATCGGCTTCTGATGGTTCCAGGATCGTAAGTTTCGTTTTCGAGGAGGTAGGGTATATGGAAGCGCTTTTTCTCCAACGGAACATGTAAATCTCCAATTTGCTTGAGATGTCCCTACTAACTCTACTACTAAGTACTACTAAGGAGCCAGTGTGCTGAAAATGCCGTGCAGCCCCCGCTGCTGCTAATGCTACTGCTGCTGCTGCAACACTAACGACCACAAGAACAGCAACCACCACAACAGCCTACCACTACTGCCACTACTACGACCACGACCGCCATTATCACTGCTAGCACCACTTACCATTAGCACAACTACTACCACCACCACCACGACGACGACGGCGACCACGCTGCTGCTGCTGCTGCTGCTACTACTACTACTACTACTCCTGCTATTGCTGCTCCTGCCACTCTAGTGACGATGACGACGACTACCAGCCATTGCGAGGACTAGGACGACAACTACGACTATAAGAAGAGGAAGAAGAAGAGGCGATGCTTTTGGCGGTGATGACGACAGATGATGATTATCATGGCGATGTTGCTTCGTGATCACGCTTATGGTGGTGGCAATGATTGACAATGGCTAGTAGCATGAAGCATGATCAAGAAGATCATGAACATTGCAGGCAGCGCTAGGCAATACGAACGGAGGTGATGGTCATCGGGTTATGACATTCAATGCTGCTGACAGAAAAAAATAGATCCGCGCCAGGGTATCTCCCCTTCACAGCTAAAGGCACGGGCCGTCCGTGCAACCTAAAACTCCGGAGAGGTGACTGGGGACAATGATGGATCACATCATTCACGCATAATAAAGCCAGCACTCCGATTTCATCTTAAACATTAAGATGTGCCGCTTAGCCACTCTAATCTTGCACATCTCGGCTTGTTTTCCGGGCTTGACCATCGCAGCTCCCCAGTTCTTCGCTTCGCCACAGAAGATGGCGTTTGCGGCAGAGGAATCACAGGAGGGAAATGTGGTGCTCTACACCGTTGTCGGCTTATACCTCGCACTGCTGACTGCAGCTCGGACTCCTTCAGGCTTTATTACCTGGTCAAGTCTCAGCCTTTTTCCACAGAACGTAACCTTATGCAGATTGAAGACGAAGTGAGGTGATTGCGAAGCTCGCACACAGAAGGAAGCAGAACCAGGCCGCGGTGGTTGGGAAGGTGAAGGCTCACTTCAGCGGCTCCTTTGGCAAGTTCACGCTAATGCTCACGACCTTCTCCACAATATACTCTGGCTATACCGTTACTGGAATCCCGGAGGAGGCTTTCAACAGAGGCTACATATCACTTAGATGGATCGGAGCTACCTTGGTAATCGTGGCCGGGATGTTGCTGCTCTACCCGAGGCTTCGGCGCTTATCCGTGGAGCGGAGCTACACCAGCCCTTTCGACTTCATCTCGGATCGCTTCGGTACCCGGCGTTGTAGGCTCCTTTGTGCAGCCTGCGGAGTTGTGCCGATGCTTTTGTATATCGCTGTGCAGATGGTCGCCTTTGCGGCTATGGTCGAGGGCATGACGCTCCAAGTTATCCCGAAAACACCCTGCATGCTGATCTTCTGCGTCATCATCATCACCCTAGAAATGTTGGGCGGCATGAACAGTGTTGTGTTCACAGATGTGGTCCAGTGCCTTGTCATGCTGCTCTCTTTCCTGGTAACTCCATTTGCCTTGGGGCTTGAATATGGCTTTTTGCCAGAGATGGCGCCAGGTGATTGTGCCTATCTTAGCCATGTCTCGCCCAACTCCACAAGCTCTCATGCCGCACCCATACCGTGCGTCGGGAGCGACTGCCTTGCATCCGGCTGCATTGCCGCCGTCAGGCCGGACTTTTTCTTGTTTCCCAGCAGATCCGATTTCTGTGACGTGTTTTTTTTCCTCTTCAACATGTTGGCGGCACCGGTTACGCCTCACATGCTCCAGCGTGCATACCTTGCCAAAGCTGATGCTGATCTGCGTTGGGTAATCGGGGCGATGCTACTTGCGCCGTTTATTGCGCAGCCACCTGGGATTGTGATTGGACTGGTGAAGGCCGCAAACAATCCGGCGTGGCCTCCCATTGACCAAACCGCAACAGCTTTTTCCAGTGTGATGGCGCAATTCAAACTGGTCGGAGTGCTCCAGTACGTGTTCGTGTCTGTGATGACCTGCTGTGCGCTTGCAGCCATCATGTCAACTGCAGACTCTGCACTGATGGGGGTTTCAAGTGTGATCTCCAATGACATTCTCTCGAAGACCTTGCTTCCCGCTCTCTCGAGCGAAAATGTAGTCAGGGCAGGCACTGTTGCATCGCTCTGTGCATGCATGGTGTCCTTCTTCCTTGGGAACTGCCTGACGAGTACACAGATGGGTGCCATCAAGAGTTTCAATGGGGGTATGATGATGCAGCTGTTGCCAGCCTTTGGCATGGGGCTTTACACTGAAGTGTCAGAGCGATCTATCACATTGGGAATTGTAGCGGGCCTCCTGTCGCTGTTGGTTCTTGTCATATGTGGAGACTCTTTAGGGAGCTATGTGCCGGACATTAGTCTCTCGGCTCTCCTCAACTTTCTCACGGTGGGCCTTTCCCATAGCATGCAGTGCCTAGCTGATGAAAGTGCGAGCAAGCTTCTGAATGTCAAGGCGATCCGTGACATGATGGCCTCTTCCAGAGAGCCCAAACTGGCCCTCGTTGCTCTTATGCTGAGTCTTGCTTTGGTATCAGCACCATGGTACAGCACGCCCGGCGCGCGGGAACCCATAATCTTTGGTTTCCCTCGCTGGGGCTGCTTTCAGCTTGGAGCCTTTGTTGTTGTATTTTTCCTGGGGATGCTAACCGTGACCCTGTGGAAGCCGCCCCAGCCTGTGGCGAAGGCTGTTCCGCCTCCTTGTGATGTGCAAGGCGTTGTGGAGATGCCGGCCGACGCAGCCACCAAGTGCTAGCGGTCTTGCGGCTCTCAGCACATTTCTCATCGCCTTCGCCGCGGTAAGGCTTAATTAGGATGTAGGCTGTGCTCCACCGCCGAAGGGCGAAAGGGCGCAGGAGGCTTGCGCAACCATTTTCAAAGCAGCAACCGCACGCATAGACGCACGGCCACTCACACGGCGTCGCATAGCAGTTGAAAACTTAAGCCGTGGGGCTGAGGTAATGCGAAGAAGCAGGGAAGAAGCAAGTCAAGGAGCCCTGCGAGCTTGTCTCCAACGCCTGAGCCTCAGATCTTGGAGCCTCCTCATGGAGAACCTATCTGTTTGGACTTCCTGACAGAGCTGGTGGTTTCTGATTTCTAGTGTTCTAGTGGCTGGGCACTGAAACGCATCACGAGCTGCCAGAGGGTGTTGAAGTTTGAGGTCGGCTGCTGGCTCTTCGCCGAAGGCCGCAGTTTGTGTGGAATCTTTTTCCAACCTGTGTCGGACCTCAAGAAGCCGCCCTCAGCTCTGCCTCCCTCTGTCCAGTTTTGATCTCATCGCAGCCTCTTGCTTGAGCCAGGTGCGTGGAGGGTCCGAGGCTCCATCGCCAGTGTCCGCATCGCACGAGGGCCCGGTTGCCTCGTCTCGGAACATGCAGTTCATCACTACTCCCTACTCCCGGCAGTGACTGCAAGTGTTGCGGATCCTGCGCCCCTCTTGCCAAGGCCTTGCTCTCAGGCCAGTCTGGACCACATCCCGGCCTCGCCCGTGTCGGCATCGCCCGGTCGGAGCCTCTGAAGAGGACCGAGACAGAGACGCGCGGACAGAGGGGGAAAGCCCTCCGATCTGCGTATAGGTTTTTGTCATGCAGCTCGGTAATTGGCCCTTGCCTGCACGACAACAATTACAGGCAATGGCTGGCATGGTTCCCCAACTTGTCCCACCAACCTTTAATTACGGAATCATTCTAGCCGTTGCAGCATCGTAGACATTCACAGGATGGTTTCAAGGAGAAGTCGTCGGCTTTGGCAATGTCGCGTTAGCAAACTCGCAACCGCAGCCTCAGTGCTCAGCATCAGCTACAAGGAAGGAGTTGTGGAGAGCTCACGTGTTTTATTCCGGCCCTGATCAGGCCTTCCTCCGTTTGAGCTGGAAGGAGAAGATATCTCTGGGCAGGCAGGGTCTTACTGCTTCCTGGGCGGTCCAGATGTGGGGCGGCTGGATAAACCGTCGACCTGAAGCCTTGTATGCATGTGTGTGTATGTATGTATGTATGTATGTATGTATGTATGTATGTATGTATGTATGTACATACATATGCAACACAAGATACACATAAAGGCATATATGCACACAGAGACAAATATGTAGATAAACAGATAGACAGACACATTGGTTGGTCTGGAGATAGATACACGTATGCATAGATAGGTATCTGCATATCTGCATACACTGAATAGGCTATGTGATGGACGTCCTGCGAAACATGAGCAGGCGGAAGATGAGGTGACCATTAGCAGGCCATGGAAGCCATCGGGGCTTTGACCTCAGCGAAGCTGCATCTGTTTCCTTGATGTGGTTGAAGAGTTTGGGCGGACTTGAGGAGTAGGCTTTGGGGTTGAAGGGTTCCAGGTGGCTAGGCTATCGTGGTAGCCGTCGTCGTCCTCGGTGGGTGGTCGTCGTCGTCGTCGTCGTCGTCGTCGTTGTTGTTGTTGCTGCTGCTGCGTACGCAAGACCACCCAGCATGCAAATTAGTTTCACATTCCTTCTCCGATGCCCACGACGAGCGTCCGACTGAATGAATACTGGTCTTGATGGTAAAGGTGGTGCTGCTGCAATCTATGATGATGATGGTGATGATGACGACGACCCCTTAGTCTGAGTGTGAGGGCAGCATTGTGAATTTGATGGCCGGGGTGATGGTGCGAGTGAAGTGGAACTGCTCTGCAACAAAGTGTTTCACGACCCCCGTTTCGCCTGCATACGACTATCCGACCGCCTGGGTGTCAACAACTAAACAGTCATCGGCAAGGTTCGTCAGAATCCAGACCTGGGCTGTCGAACTTAAGTGGGTATGGCACAAAGCTGGGATGGTGTGCTGGGAAGAAGCTAAGTATCTGCAGGAGTCTAGACCGATTCATGAACTGCCTCATAATTCATCCAGAATTTCGGTTTTTCCTGAATTCCGGTTCCAGAATTGACCACGCGGTTTCTGAGTTTGGTTCCTGAGTTGGTCGTCATGCATCTGCCCCTTTTGGCAACATTTGCATTCGGTGCCTGTCTGCAGCCGCGGCTGTCTCGTGCTCCGCCAAAGGCGCAGACGAGCGGCCCGACGAACAGGGTTGCTTTGACTCACCAGTTCAGCGAAGTAGACGTCGTAGACTCGTCGTAGACCGTATAGTCCTGCATCATCTAGAAAGCAAGCTTTCGACATCGAAGCGGTTTGCGCCATGAACGGGTGGCGGATCCCGCGGGCGCTGGCACACGGGATGGCCGCTTGCTTCTAGCTTCGAGGACGGGAGGGAACAAACGAGACTTCTGGTGAGAAATGGCGGCGAAGACGTGCCAAATGACAAGGCCTTGGACCCCACAGAAAGCAACCTCGGTTGCGTTGTCCGAGTCAGCAGAGCCCATAGGACACCTGCACATTTCTTCGCACGACGATGGAGCGTCCTGGGAAGACCTTGAGCGATGCTGCTTTCGCAATGCCCCTTGGCCATGTCAATGTCCTCACTCTTCATTTCGTTGCACTCTCATTCGGAGCTGCTGGTATCGGAGCCACGGCCGGGGCCCTCACGAATCGAGCTCTCTCTGCGCCGAGGATAGTGCCTGGTGCTGATCAAGAAGGCCGTAGGACAAGGGAACTGCGGGAACTGTGCAGAAGGGTTCTTGTGATGTTGTTTGCACGGCTGCTGCCTGTGGAGTCTTCCGGCTACTGTGTTAAAGCAAAGCCCAAGCAAGACAGTTCAAGCGCAGAAGCGCAGAACTTCATTGTTCTTGTCTCCGCTTGCTTGAAGCTATAGGCGTGCCCGTGCACGAACTTCCTGTTTGTCTGAACTGCGCAGTCCTTCGATTGGCTAGTGCCGCTGTTCATCCCCCTCCTCCTCCTCCTCCTCCTCCTTTTGCTTCTTCTTGTGTTTCTACGGCGACGATTGTGAAAGCACTCTCACTGCGACGATTGTGACTCGGATACTACTGCTGACGAATACTAGACTAGACTTCTTCTGTGGGAGCCGAAAGAAGCATGCGTGACTTCAGGCTTGCCTCGCAGGGGACCCAAGCCAACACGAGCTTATCTCACAGATGGCTTCGAGCAGCTGGGACACAGAATCCCCTGAATGAAGCTCCATGCCCCTCAGGTGCTTCCAGGATTTTCGTAGCATTGTATCTTCTTGACATCTACCCGCACGCAGGGATGGCTGTTTGAGTTTGAGCTTCGGAAGTGCGAGTCGTGCATGTAAGGCGCCCAGTAGCCCAGCCCCCGAAGCCAAATCCAAAAGAAAATTAAACCCTGAACCCTAAACTGAAAAGCTTAGGTCAGCCAAGCTCCGGCAGCGCAGTAATGATGCCGTCGAGAGCCAGGCCAGCCCCACGAATCGAGACACCCGGCAGAAAGGTTTCCTTGAGGTTTCCTTTGTGGGCCGGGGACGCTGAGCAAGTCCTGAAGTTTTAAAAAGCACAAGTCTGATTGAGTTCAAGAACGCCTCGCAAAAAAGGGCCACAGCCGAGGACGCGCGTGGTTTGGGAAGGCCTGCAGCCCTGCAACCCCCCAGCTCCAGCTTGGGGGACTTGGTCTTTCAGTCTGAAGGATCGGGGCAAGGCCAAAGCGGCCAAAGCCAAAGCCCAAGACGGACCTTCTCGCCGGCACGGACCGGAAGATTCAGATTCTTGCCCGAGAGCTTGAAGACAATGCCCGTGCCGCCGGTCTTCCCCTCCCTGCGCAATCGCGCGAATGCTCCGACCGCTCCGAACGATGAAGAGGATGCCCTCGACTGGGCACCGGAGTCTCCCCTGTCACCCGGAAGGACAAAGCGATCGCCCAAGGCGAAGGCTATGAACCAATCCTTCTATCTTGACAGGCCCAAACCGAAGTCTCGCATGCATCAGGGCGGTGCCTCGGGAGAACAGTTGCACTTGCTCACGATCGAGGGCTTCGAGGCACCGAAGAGGGAAGCCGCGAAAGATGAGTTGCCCTCGCCTTCGAGCAGCATGAAGAGGATGGTCCTTCAGGACGGTTACAAATTCTTGAGTGCCCGTTCAGACCGCGGATGCTTTGAGCGAGAGGGTGTTGGGAGTAGAGCTTGTGCTTGAAGCCGGTCTCGAGAGTCTGAATGCCTTCAGTGCGCAGGAACACGATGCCAAAGATGTACAGAGATCGAGACGCCTGAGCTCGCTTTACGTGCGGGGCTGGACGCAAAGAAAGGCCACGCCACCTGCAAGAGCATCCCACCATGTCATCGTCCTCCGTCGTCCTCCGTCGTCTGTCGTTCTCCGTTCGATGTTGTCATCGGTCGTCGTCGAGTGTTGTCGTCTTCACGTCGTCGTTCTTCTCCACGCGTCACTTTGGGGATTGCGGAGGGGCTTCGCCTTGCCATGTCTTTGTCCGGGCGCATGTCATGCATTCAGACGGAGTAGGTGTGTGATGGGTCTTGTCTTCAGCCCTGCATCTCCCCCTTGGGTTGAGGTCGCCGGCCGACCGGCGAAAAGATGCCGAGACTAATGTGCAAAATCACTTAGAAGCTGAAAAGCTGCTGTACGCGGCCTTCGCTGTTTGGTCGTCTTCCGTCCGCCCACTGGCCGTCGTTGTTGCCGTTGCAAATATTCCATGAGCACAGGCACCCAGCTTTGATGATGAGGAGGATGAAGATGACTATGTTGTGGAAGATGGTGCTAGTGTTGCTGCCTCTGTTGATGTTGGTGACTTGTGCTGTTGGTGATGATGGTGACTTGTGGTGGTGTCACCGTGGCCTTGGGAGGATGAGTCCGACTCCACTGCCGAGGGTGGTGCCAATGAAGAGGCGCACAGAGAGTGTGTCTGTTTTGCCACTTCGCAGCGAGTTGCAGAGTGGACCCCCCTAAAAAACGCGCGCCACGCGGCATGTGCACATTAGAGAATTTCAAAGCAGCGGCAAGATCTGTCGAGGAGGAGGAGGAGCAAGAATCGCCTTTGGAGCGCCTCTTGCGGCTTCAGAAGGAGCTTCAGGAGCCGACGTGTGGCTTTTTTTGCTCACGTGGAGCTACGGCACCTACGCCTTGCTCAGTCGTGGTTTCTTATGTTTCTGTTCGTGGCCATTTCTGGTTTTGCACTCTGGGCCATGCAGAAAGTGCGCTGGAGCCGAGATGGAAGCTCAAAGTTGCTGCTACTGCTAGCTACTAGCTGAGATCTCTGTGATCCGTTGAAAGGCCGTGCCACTCTTGCGAGCTCTCTGTGCTTTGCTGCAGGAGGCACTAGCAATGCACGCTCGCGGTGTTGCCATAGCGCCCAGGCTGCAGTGCATGCCATGGCAATCACGAATGCATTCGTAGTGCCAAGCTGAGGAGTTGAAGGCCATGTCCATTTCGGAAGAGAAGGAGATGCTGGAATTGGAAGGTTTAATCGAAGAGCACGGGCTGACAGGGAAGGCCGGGGTCATGGCGCCTCAGACGTTTTTCGCCCGGACCCGCGCGTTTCTGTGCACAGGCTGCTCTGGCCTACATCCTGTGTGCCAAGTTGGGATCATTGGAACCTTGGGCCGTTTGTTTGGAGTCTTAGAGTAGACGTAGTGGTAGTCACAGAAGTTTTCCCTGCTTAAGCCAACGAGGGGCCGGTACGGTTTAAAGTTTATGCACGTGGATTCCGGAACTGTTGGGTCTCAGTGAACTGCCGAGCTACTGTCTGCCTTTGAAATTATTGATGGCTGGGATGCCCCACATACCCAGACCCTCCATCTAGCCTCTATTAGACCCTAAACACCCTTACTTTGGGACCCTGTGCCCCTACTTGAGGGTACTTGGAGGTCCTGGTAAGCAGTTTCAGAAGAAATCCTACTCCCACCCTGCTACCGTGCGTGCAACTCGGAGACCCCAGGACTCAGCACCTATGGGGGATGCGGAAGTAGCTGGATTTCCAAGTGACCGGCAGATAAGATTACGAGTGCAAGCAAGCACGCGATTCTATGTGCGCACAGTGCACTATAGTAGATATGTTTATACTGATGCCGTGCCTGTGGTTAAAATCAAGCGCTCTAATTCTACGTGCCAGCCAGAAGCGCATTTACCAGCAGCTAGGCCTGCAAGTAGTTGGGTGCTTTTCTTCGTCCAAGCTTCCGTTTTTTTGCTCCAAGGATGCTGCCTTCAACTACCTGGATGGCAACAGTTCGGAGGCTTTTGCTGCAGTGTCCTGGCACACTGGCTTGATGATTCTTCGTGTCGATGCTTGCAAGCATTCAGGCTGTACTGAGCATGCGAAACGTCGCTTTGACATTGCGCTTTCTCTGTGCTCAGCTTTCCTCGTCTCGACTCAGCTCAGGATCTTCCAAAAATAGCAGGCCTGGTGAAGAAGTTGCCTGAGACAGGTTCATGCACGGCAGATGAGCTGTATCTGCATTTAAGCTTGCAGGCTTGGGCAAACAGCAGATGTTCTCTTCGATCACGAAGGGTGGGACAACTGTCTCTCGCGTGCCTCGGAGCGTAGGATTAGGAGAAGGTGCATGGGCGGGTGGCCTGTGAAGTCAAGAGCCACCTTGCCTCGCATCTGCCACAGCTGCCACAGCGCACATGCTGAGCCCTTGGGCGGATCTGAGGAAGCATGGCACGAGTACTTCGCTGGGGTCGAAGATTCGCTGCCTGCACTGCCAAGCCAGCTGCGGCAGAAAAGGCCTAGCTGCGTGACGTCGATGACTTTGTTTCCTTGCAGTGGCATGACACGAGCAGTTGCTGTGCTTTCGACCCTGCGAGACGAGTAAGCACCGGCCCATTGTTGTGAGGACTGCCCAGAAGCCCAGACTTCCCGAAGCTCCGCTTCCTCCGCCTCCGCCTCCGCCGCCTCCGAAGCCGAAGGCGAATTGTTGTTATTATTATTATTATGATTCTTATAATGTATATTATGATTAGTACAACTATTATTGGTATTATTTTATTGTTATGCCTGTTATGATTAGGAAGGCATTGCACCTCGCTGCAACGCCGGCAAACGCTGAGGAGCCCAAGCCTGAGCCTGAGCCGAAGCCTGAGGAGAAGAAGGAGACTTCGAGCGAGTTTGCTAGGCCCATATATTATTATTATGCTATATTATGTTACATTAAGTTATATTATATTATAATTGTATTATATTATATTATAGTATATTATATTATATTGTATTATATTATATCCTCTTATATCCTCCGACGACGGCTCTTCCCAAATGTGAAGGAGTCGACTGGGGTCGGGTGGCGCAAGCTGCGCATGGCAACCAAGAAGCTGAAGACTTTGCTGCCCGACTGATTTAGAGTGTTGGGAGGACTGTCATGCCTAGCCAGCCCAGCCATTCCAGCACAGTAAATGACACCACTCTGAGCGGTTGAGGAGCAGCTTCAACACGATGCACGAGGAGCAGCAACAGCAGCAGCAGGCTCGTTTCGCAGAGCTTGCAAGCATTGCCTGTGCGATCTTGGCCAGAGCATGAGGCTAGGGCAGGGTAGAATCACTCACATGTTGCCTGCCTCATCTCGCTTCCGAAGCCAGCGGTTCGTTTAAGTATGCCTGAGCGATGCACATCTTATTCAATTGGTTTTGGGCACAGGATGGTGATTCTCCTGTCTGATGATGCTTGAGGTGTCTATTTTGGGGCAGCCTAGCCATTCTCTTAGCCACGCTCTGCGATTGACTGGAGGAGCCCCAGGAGGAAGACGAGGCTTTCAAAGAGAGGGCAGCTCGACCGAGTACTTGCAGGGCCCTGTCGAATCGGTTCGCGCATGGCGGTTTGTTCTGCAAGAATTCCTCAGGTAACGATGCAGCTGCAGGGCTTGAGCCCGGACCGGGATGTTCACATGAATGAGCATGATCTACGTCTCTCCTCCATGGACCCCTCCAAACTTCAGGTCCTCACGGTTTGTCATGGGTGCAGGACGAAAGTGTCAAGCTCCAGAACCTCTCCAGAAAGCAGCGGGCGGTGTGCATGCAGGCGTCGCCTTTTTGGTCGTAGCACAAGCCAGAGTGAAGACGAGTGCGGACAGTTAAACGTCGCAAGAAAACGTGGGCAGCACAAAAAATGCCTTCGAATCCCCAGTCTTGTTCCATCATTTGGGCTGCAGCCACGTCAGAGGCCAGGTCAAAGTCAAACCTTCAGGACCGAAAGCAAGCCAAGCCATGTTTGGGATGGCCCGGCTCAAACCGATGGCAGCAACTAGGCGATGTGCCCATCAGCCATCTGAATCTTGTTCTGCGCGACGATGTAGAATCACGTCTTAGCAATTAGTCTAACATTTCGCCTTTTAGCTGTGAGCTGCTACAAGTCACCATAGTTTACATATCGTTTACAACTTCGATGCCCGCCATCTGCTGCAAGCAAGCTGCACTAGTTTTGCAACGGTGATGACCGCCAAACAGTGCAAGCACAACGCAAATCCAGTAAAGCCGACCGTGGTAAATCACCGCATGAAGCAGCGCCTGAACCCTGCCACATGCTTCAGACTCCAGGAATGAAGAAATAAGAAAAGTGTTTGCTACCGTACTCCGCTCCATCTCTGCAGGGAAACTCTGCTGTCCACCAGCTCGAAGCCCCAGCCACGGCATGTCTCGGAATGAGAGAGCCATAACAATAACACCAACAGTACATGCAACAATAGGAGCTCCAATAATAACAGTAATAATCTTAATAATAAGAGGAAGCGTAGCAATTAACAATAACAGTAAAGCCTTTTGCAGGTTGCCAAAGACTCCGGGCTTTGGTCATCCACTCAGGGATCCTCGCTCTTGGTCCTGCGGGAGGGCCCTTTCACGGAAGAGATGCGCAAGGCCGGTCTTTGAACGCCAGAAGGAATGCTCATGAGTAGCGAGCAACCCACGACGAGGAGATCGCAAACCTGCCCCTTGCTTCCGGTCTTCGCCTGCTTGTCTCGAAGGTTGGGCCAGGCAGGGCCCCGGAGAATGCAGGTAGCAGGTATCTACTGATACTTCTTTCTTGGTGATGCAGCCCTCGCAGGCCTGGTCCTACTTGGGCGAATGCTGACGGACATGAATGGCATGCGAATGTCGAAGGCCTGTAGCAGAATAATCGTGCCAACAGTGACGGCGGAGCGATGTCAGTCACGCGGATGATGACAGCGACGGCAAGGATGACGATGGTGGTGATGACTGGTGCCGGCGGCGGCGGCGGTTGTGGTGCTGGTGGTCTTGCTAATGACTGCTAATGATGGCTAGTGATTAATGATGACGGCGACGACGGTGTCCATGATCAACATGTCGAGCATATCCATGGCAACGTTATCGGCAGTGCTGATGACGATGATGACGATGATGATGACGATGATGATGATGATAATGGAGTCTGACAGAGTGCCCTGGGAGTGCCATGGTGACATGCCGCAGACGAGGGAGGACATGAGGGCCATGAGTGGCGGGAGACATGTTAAGAATGAGAACATGCTGTTGAAGGCCAGTGTGTTTGGCACCGATGATGAGTGATACTGTGGATGGTGATTCTGAGGATGATAATGGGTGAGAGAGCAGCGGAAGATGAATGTGTCGATGAGCTGCCGCCGGTGCCGATACCGGTCGTGACCCAGAGGGATGCGAGGACATGTCGGCGAAGCAGTGAGTAGACGAAAGGGTACTCGGGCCATCTCGGGCCCATCTTTTCTCGCTTTCTGCCGGAGGCCTGCGGGAAGTGTCCCAGTTGCTGCGAGGAGTTGTCTTTGCCTGCTGTAACTTGGCTTCGAGGGTCGACAACCGCTACGGTTTCGGGCAGCTTGCGCTGATTTTGCCTGGAAATAGCATTCGTGCCTTCTTCAACATGCCCTTCAGGTGGAAACCGCAGAAACATCACAAACTCCTTGTCATGTGCTTGAAATTGCGAGGGGGAACAAACAGGATTTGCGGGACAGTTTAGGATTTGCTGGGAAACTTTGGATCTGCCGTTTTTTGTGTGATTGGCCGGGAAAAGTTGCGATGTGTTGGGATTCTTGGGAACCCGAGCCCTCATGCAAGGAATGTCTTAGGTTTTTGCCCAGGCTTTTCCAGGATCGCTTGGGGTTTTCTCTTTGGTTTCCGGTGGGTTTAGGAAGGATGCTCCTATACTTACAGAGACCCCAGTTGAACAAGGCACCTAAGCGAAGCTCTGAATTGTAAGTTGTGCAGCTGGCAAGAACCCTGGATCCGAGCCTGGGTGCTCCTCCAGAGGTCCTAGGCCCTAGGTATACCTGCGCTGTCTAAGTTACTAAGGCAAGACGGTTTCCATGTTTAGAGGTTGTCCGGACTGACATTAGAGGTATGGGATAAAAAAACTAAAACATGATACAATATCTATCTATCTATCTATCTATCTATCTATCTATCTATCTATATGGTCGCCCCCCCCTCCCATGACACGCGCAGGTCCATAAAACTTCGGCAGGCACGATCAACATGGCTTTTTTTCCTCGAATCGATTTTCGATGCGTTTAAAAAAGCAGCTTGACAGCGACTCTAGTTGGATTTCTTGTATCGACAGTGTTAAGATAAATATTAGTATGAGTATTCATATTAGCATCGGTGTGTTGATTAGTATTAGTATT